TAGGTATCTCAGAACTCGCTCGATTGGGCGCTGAAGATGCGTAGGAGCAGGGAGGAGGATATCATGCCGAGGGAGGTCAGTGAGAGGAGGAGGAGGAGGAGGGAACACATGGCCACCGCAAGAGATGATTGCGGGGCATCGCTTCCGTACGAGATGATCATAGAGGTTCTGCAGTGGCTCCCAGTCAAATCCGTCTTCCGCTTCAAGGCAGTGTGCCGCTCCTGGGCTGCGCTGCTCTCCTCCAATGAATTCCGCCGACTCCACATGTCAGCAGCCAAGGCCGCAAAGCGGCGGACACCACCAGCCAAGCTGCTATACATCTCACCGACCGCCACATTCGACTCCACCACGGTCTACTCGTGCCCCTTCTCGCCATCATCATCATCGTGCCGCCCCAGAGATCACGGGGACCTACTGTTCACCATCGACGGTGCCCGTGGAAACTATGTGGAGATAGTGACGCCCGCGCCGTGCAATGGCCTCACCCTTCTCTATGATGCTCTCGACACAGCCTACTACATCTGCAATGCAGCCACACGTCTGCCGCCTTCTACCAGCGTAGTATGCAGCTCCAGTGCTGGCCTGGGATTTGATGCCCTCACAGACGAGCACAAGGTGGTGAGGTTGATGAATGGGATGTTTTATCAAAAGGACTTGGACTCTGTGAGGTGTGAGGTGTACACGACTGGAGGCCCCTTCATGGATCGCTGCTGGAGGCCGGCTGCCAGAGGAGTACCCTCCAGCTTGCATAAATTTGCACGCGCCGCTGTTCGTAATGCGTCAGTCAACTATCTCCCGTGTTTGCCAACGGTTGCTTGCACTGGTTGATGAGACCTTCCTCTTTCATCACGACTCCAAGTGTTGCCATCGTGTCCTTTTCGGTTGCAGATGAGACCTTCACATGTCTCCGGTCACCACCCTTCTGGGTACCAGGAACGCCGCCGACCTCCAGGTGTTCCTCATCAGGAGAGCAACTAGTGGAGATCGATGACCAATTATGTTTGGTTCGCAACAGAATTCCTCATGGTAGTAACACTTTGGAGATCTGGAAGCTGCTGGACTATAGCTCTGGTGACTGGTTACTGGATCATCGAATTAATTTGTCGGGGCACCTGGCAACAAATTTGCGCCAGTCACAAATTCTGAGAGTTATTGGATCTTTTTGCAGTTACAGGTCGCCAAGGAAGAAAATAATCATCACCACTAGCACACACAAGATTTTTGATAAGTATCAGAAAATGGTTCACACCTATGACCCCAGGTCTGAGGCTCTGGAAACCATTCTTTCGATCACAGAGACACACTCAACTCCACAATATGGGTGCCCTAGTTCAAGATTCAGTTTCGTTCAAGAGACCCTTGCTCCCGTGCATACAACAGATGAGGAGATAGCCTTGTCATCTGACCTGGCTAAGGCGACTAGAGAGGTCCTACTCCGCCTCCCAGCTAAATCAGCCATACAGTCCAAATTTGTCTGCAAACAGTGGTTCAGATTGATTGAGAGTAAAAACTTCATTCAGTCATACTTTCAGCATAAGAACATAGACAGAAGACCTAAAGTCATGCTTGTGGTCAAGAGCACTGGACGATTGGGCTTCAGTTTTGCTCCATTGAATAAATGCCTCCAAGAAGCTCCTAGTCACAGTACATTGCTTGATACAAAGGTGGTTTGCTCCAAGCCTTGTCATGGGCTAAACTTGGTAAGCACCGAGACGAAGGACTATCTCTGCAATCCATGTACAGGTTTCTACAGGGGCTACTCTAACCTGGGGCCAGATTTGCACCGACCCTCGAGAATGCCTAAAGCAGAAGATCATGCTTTTACAGTCGGCAATAAAAATGTTGGCTTGACTTTTGACCCTACGACTCGTCAACATGTTATCGTGGAAATATTCTATCATTGGAAGGACTTTAAATCTCGTCAGTATGACCTGACATGTGCGTTACACTGGTGTAACTCTTGGAGTGCTGCCCAAGAGAACTCGGTACCGCCTCTGCCTGTGAATGATATGCCACCAGCCTATGTTGAAGGAATTCTCTACTGGATGAATGAACCAAGGTTGGGACAGAGCTGTGAATGGGCCATTGTATCTTTCAACCTTGCTACAAATACTTTTGATGTTGTCTCATGCCCTTCGTGGTTTGCAAGATGGAATAGCAGAAACCGGTGTCATGCGTTTGTTGTTGAGCTCGAGGGAGTATTATGTGCTGTTCTAGCAGATCCAGCCGCAGACAAATTAGATGTATGGAAGCTAGAGCATGGCCAATGGGGCAGATCATACACAATTCACCTGGAAGCATGTCCTGGCTATTCCCTCAAGACAAGCGTTGTTGTGCCATTAGCTGTTGACCCTGATCATGGGAGGATCCTGCTCAACACTGGTAGGAAAATAGGTCTATATGATCCAGTAGAGCAAACAATTCAAAATCTGTATTCACTTGATCAGGTGCCGGCTTCCAGAAGTAATCCACACCTGAAGTTTCTTGATATGCCTTCAACTTCATCCAGGAATAGTTCGACGATTCCTTTTGTTCCTATTTTATATGAGGAGAGCTTGGCAGGTTACTCCTTTGTGCGCAAAGCAAACTGTTTGTGGTGAGACATTTTCAAGGCATGTTTGGCGAACTGAAACACCCAAGGTTTGATAATGTAATAAACATTATGAGACCTTTTTCGCATATAACTGGTGAGTGGTGACTGTCTGATGTTCCTTTTGTTTTGAAGTCATATATCATTTCGCTTACAAATATAATGATGGATGTGTTGCTGATGTTTATATTATCTGCATGAATAAGAGGATGAGGATATCTGTTGCCGGCCTTGCGTTAGGAGTATATTTCTGACAATGTCTTGTGTTTGTTGTTTGCCGTGTCCAGTTGTCATTGCACTTACAAAATACTAGTGTTTATTTTGTTAACTGCATTGAGTATTGAGCCTGTGCTGGTCCTGAATATCATGTAAAGAGGCCAAAGGCCATCGTTTTTTATGTTAATCACCTCACCAGAGTGCCGTGCATTACAGAAAATTGTAGTAAGGTTGTTTCTGTCATCACAGTTTTTTTCTGTCGAAAAATACAGACAATTGGCACTACTATTATCTGTTTATATATCTGATGAAAATACAATGGGTGAAGATAATATATAGAAATAAATAAGTATATTAATAATGGTTATCACTTGCCAGTTTACTAAATTACCAAATACTGGAATAACGTTATGCCATCTCAAGCTGCAGATATTTATATTCGTGCTCATTTGTTGATCATTTTCCATGTGACTGCGATATTATTTAGTTTTTTTCGTAACTGACAGTTGATTGGTAGTCCTAACACCTGAACTTGCAATATTGATGTGATTTTGTTATTATGATGTGGAATTTGTCCTGATACTCCTCCCTGTTCCCAGCCTTGCCTGTTCCTGGGGCGATGTGTAATTTCCCCTGGCACCATTTGTTCACGTGATCTCCTTGCTGGTTTATGGCCTGAAGTTTGGTTTGGTTTCTGTTTCTGTGTTTGGTTATTGTAGCAAACCCTGCGTGCATGCGTGCGTGCGTGCGTGCGCGCGCGCGCGAGCGAGCGAGCCGTGACTCGATGGGGTGCGAGGCGGAGGCGGAGGAGCACGTCTCCGGTCTCCCCGATTTCGTTTCGGCGGTGGCGTGAGGGGACCCGCCGACTGGCCGAGCGGGGCAGCGGGCGACGGCGACGACCAAGGGAGAAGGGGGACGGCGCTGCGGCGGCGTGCTGGGCCTGAGCAAGCGACAGATGCGAGATGCAGGCTGGGGCCAGGAGAGCAGACTAGAGACGAGGGTTGGGGAGACCGGAACACCCGGCACACCCTTTTGCTACGCCAATGCCGCTCAAGGTCAGCCCTCCCTGCATCCCACTCCTCCTGATCTGTCTCTTTTCGTGACACATGTAGAGCAAGCCCAATCAGTCGTGGCTTAGGGGTAAGTTGCGTCTGATCCTCATCCTGCCTGCGCTCCATTCTGTGACTAGATTTATTCTACTAATATTTCTACTGGGATTTGTGGTTGTTTCAATCGATTAGGACAAAGCTAATCTGATTCTTTTCGAGAGTAAAGCTAATCTGATTCTGATGAGCTGAGGTTTCAGGTTTTGACTGGATGTATGAACATCCTCTACTGGTTCTGTAAAATAAATAACAAATTCAGTTTATCCATTATACACAAATTCTAATATAATGGGCGGCTATTTTCTATTAGTATACTTGAAATGATATTGAGGTATGCTCCCATGTTTTTATCCGTGTACTATGTAGATGTATACTAACAATTAAGCTTTGATCATGAATACATAAACCATAGAAGATTCTGACAAACTAAGTGGTGTGTAATTCTCTGTTCCATAGAAGATTCATTGATCCCTGTACTTTTGACAAATTTATTTTCACGACGTCTTCCGTGTATTCCCTTTCTCATGATTTGTGATTCTCAATTCTGCCAGCTCTGTTGAGACATGGAACCGAAGTCGTGAGGCGGACATCATCATTTTGTCAGACTAAGTGTAGAGTTACAAGGTACTCTATTGGCAACCTCATACACCTGCATCAACTATCATTACAAGTAGAGCATTTCCGTGCTCTTAAGTCAATCTATTACGGAAAAATCAAAGGCTTTTGTCCCTGTTATTTTTTTTTGTTCTATTGTATGTGGGCATCTTATCTATCTGTAACATGTGATGTGTGCAACTATAGAAATGTTAGGCTATAATAGCAATTCTTTGCAACACATGGTCTTATACATTCTGGCTATACTTACTGCTAGAATGTATTTGGTGCATTGCTTTGGGTGTTGAACCGTGCATTGATTGCATATTACATTGATTTGGATTTTGATTGTACACTGAAATTTAGGTGTTTTTGGAGAGCTGACTGTACAATAAAATGATCTACCTTGCAGTATCATTTTTTCACAAAGGAAGAAATTCGGAGTAATTACGGCCTTGGCGCTCTTCATGTTGTGAGAGAACCTGTTCAGTAGGATGCCGACATGCATCAGGAAGCCAACAGACAGCCAGAGCTTGAAGGCGTGGAGCCTGAGCTGCAGTGACGACGACAACTTGGGTGTCAGGTGCAAAAACTGCAGTTCAAAGTGTTCAACCAAGTGTAAGTTTGCAGTAAGTCAATAATTGCAGTTCTACAATGACACATTCAGACTTGCATCCGAAGTTAGATAGGAACATGGAAAGAATCTCCGAAACTTATTTACAAGGGAGAGAAAACTTCACACCTATTTTATCTTCAGTGGCTGAACTCTCTTGTAGCTTTGGTTCAGATCCTAAAGCTATATGAAGCACCATAGATTGAGTTTGCAAGCAAAAGGATCACACAACCTGACAGTACTGGTAGCAGTCTTTTTCTTCCAAAGTTTGGCATTGATGTCTGTCAATTTTCAGGTAAGTTACATGTGTGCGAACGAGAGGTCGACCGACAAGTTGTTGATTTCTTAATCTCGGAAACTTGATCCTTATATAACTGACTATCAGTTAAATTTTTATTGGACTTTTGGTCTCTTTAAAATACCAGTACACGATATTCAGGTCCAAAGGTAACTAGCAACCTATTTGAGCAAGTTGCAAACACATCCGGGATCTGGAAGGTGAGCGATCTGAGCCGCCCTTCTCGGCTCGGTTTATCCCGATTCCGAACCCGGTCCTGTGACGCGATCCCTGTTCCTCCTACTGTATACTGTGCCTCGGCGCGCCTCGCTAGCTATTGCTGGATTGGCTCGAGTTTAGGACAACTAGGTCATGATCAGGGTGGCGCTTTCTGAATGAGAGCAGAGCCAGTGCGGCCTTCTACCAGTTTGGGATATGGAACAGGATCAGTCAATTGATGTCGTTTTGTTTCTGCGGTTCCACTTTAGTTACCAGGGACCGAGATTGTTGAATGTGTGGCTGAGTGTTTCGGTTCTGCGAGCAGTCATATGCTCGTTAGACTAGCTCAGCACAGGGAAATCCTATGGGAGGAATATATGCGACAGTTGACTTCAGGATATGTTGCTTGGTTGTTCACGACCTTCCTAGATGAGTATGAATTATATCTCACATACCATAATAAATCAATGATTATCCTATAAATTTGAGATGCGATTAGGTTAGATTGGATATGATCGTGATATGCCCTATATTGTTATGCTTGACGAATCGTAGTTCTAACATTGCGCTTACACCAGGTTTTCCGTCCACTGCATGGCTGGCTACGAGTGGCTGGCCGACGGGGTGCTCGGCGAGGTCGAAGCCGCTGCGTACTGGACTGCCGTCGCGCCAAACGTCGAGGAGTATGGCAGCGCCGTGGCCAGGTCCAACGCTTCCGGCGCCGAGAACGTGGCCAAGGGGATCATGTGGTGCGGGGTGATGACCGTGGACAGGCTCCGCTGGCGGAACGAGGTGCTCCGAAAGAGGATTCAAACCGGCGATAATGAGGCCGAGGTCTGCCCGGAGATGCTCAGGTGTATCAAAAGGTAGTGCTTTCTTTCTCAATTTTCACATCAAATGTGTTTCTAATTTGTGGTCAAGCAAACTTATTTAGTGGGATTTGTGATGCATAAATCAATAAATACAACAACAACAACAACAACAACAAAGCCTTTAGTCCCAAACAAGTTGGGGTAGGCTAGAGGTGAAACCCATAAGATCTCGCAACCAACTCATGGCTCTGGCACATGGATAGCAAGCTTCCACGCACCCCTGTCCATAGCTAGCTCTTTGGTGATACTCCAATCCTTCAGGTCTCTCTTAACGGACTCCTCCCATGTCAAATTCGGTCTACCCCGCCCTCTCTTGACATTCTCCGCACGCTTTAGCCGTCCGCTATGCACTGGAGCTTCTGGAGGCCTGCGCTGAATATGCCCAAACCATCTCAGACGATGTTGGACAAGCTTCTCCTCAATTGGTGCTACCCCAACTCTATCTCGTATATCATCATTCCGGACTCGATACTTCCTCGTGTGGCCACACATCCATCTCAACAGACGCATCTCCGCCACACCTAACTGTTGAACATGTCGCCTTTTAGTCGGCCAACACTCCGCGCCATACAACATTGCGGGTCGAACCGCCGTCCTGTAGAACTTGCCTTTTAGCTTTTGTGGCACTCTCTTGTCACAGAGAATGCCAGAAGCTTGGCGCCACTTCATCCATCCGACTTTGATTCGATGGTTCACATCTTCATCAATACCCCCATCCTCCTGCAACATTGACCCCAAATACCGAAAGGTGTCCTTCCGAGGTACCACCTGGCCATCAAGGCTAACCTCCTCCTCACACCTAGTAGTACTGAAACCGCACATCATGTACTCGGTTTTAGTTCTACTAAGCCTAAACCCTTTCGATTCCAAGGTTTGTCTCCATAACTCTAACTTCCTATTTACCCCCGTCCGACTATCGTCAACTAGCACCACATCATCCGCAAAGAGCATACACCATGGGATATCTCCTTGTATATCCCTTGTGATCTCATCCATCACCAATGCAAAAAGATAAGGGCTCAAAGCTGACCCCTGATGCAGTCCTATCTTAATCGGGAAGTCATCGGTGTCGACATCACTTGTTCGAACACTTGTCACAACATTATCGTACATGTCCTTGACGAGGGTAATGTACTTTGCTGGGACTTTGTGTTTCTCCAAGGCCCACCACATGACATTCCGCGGTATCGTATCATAGGCCTTCTCCAAGTCAATGAACACCATATGCAAGTCCTTCTTTTGCTCCCTATATCTCTCCATAAGTTGTCGTACCAAGAAAATGGCTTCCATGGTCGACCTCCCAGGCATGAAACCAAACTGATTTTTGGTCACGCTTGTCATTCTTCTTAAGCGGTGCTCAATGACTCTCTCCCATAGCTTCATTGTATGGCTCATCAGCTTAATTCCACGGTAATTAGTACAACTCTGAACATCCCCCTTGTTCTTGAAGATTGGTACTAATATACTCCGTCTCCATTCTTCTGGCATCTTGTTTGCCCGAAAAATGAGGTTGAAAAGCTTGGTTAGCCATACTATTGCTATGTCCCCGAGGCCTTTCCACACCTCAATGGGGATACAATCAGGGCCCATCGCCTTGCCTCCTTTCATCCTTTTTAAAGCCTTCTTCACCTCAGACTCCTGGATTCGCCGCACAAAACGCATGCTGGTCTCATCAAAGGAGTCGTCTAGTTCAATGGTAGAACTCTCATTCTCCCCATTGAACGGCTTGTCGAAGTACTCCCGCCATCTATGCTTAATCTCCTCGTCCTTCACCAAGAGTTGGCCTGCTCCGTCCTTGATGCATTTGACTTGGCCAATGTCCCTCGTCTTCCTCTCACGGATCTTGGCCATCTTATAGATGTCCCTTTCACCTTCCTTCGTGCCTAACCGTTGGTAGAGGTCCTCATATGCCCGACCCCTTGCTTCACCAACAGCTCGCTTTGCGGCCTTCTTCGCCATCTTGTACTTCTCTATGTTGTCTGCACTCCTATCCAGGTATAGGCGTCTGAAGCAATCTTTCTTCTCTTTAATCGCCTTCTGGACGTCATCATTCCACCACCAGGTATCCTTATCTTCGCTTCTCCTTCCCCTGGACACTCCAAACTCCTCCGAGGCCACCTTACGAATGCAAGTCGCCATCTTCATCCACACATTGTCCGCAACCCCTCCTTCCTCCCAAGGGCCCTCCTTAATGACCCTCTCCTTGAACACCTGAGCTACCTCCCCCTTGAGCTTCCACCACTTCGTTCTAGCGACTTTGGCACGCTTATCCCGCTGGACACGAATCCGAAAGCGGAAGTCAGCAACCACCAGCTTATGCTGGGGTACAACACTCTCCCCAGGTATCACCTTACAGTCTAGGCACGCACGCCTATCTTCTCTTCTCGAGAGGATGAAATCAATCTGGCTAGAGTGTTGGCCACTACTAAAAGTCACCAGATGTGATCCTCTCTTTCTAAAGAGGGTGTTAGCTACAATCATGTTGTAGGCTAGAGCAAAGCTTAAGACATCTTCTCCTTCTTGATTCCTGATGCCATGGCCAAAGCCCCCATGCGCCCCTTCAAAACCTGTGTTAGATGTACCCACGTGGCCATTGAGGTCTCCTCCTATGAAGAGCTTCTCACCAATCGGTACACTCCTAACCATGTCTTCCAGGCCTTCCCAGAACTCCCTCTTGGTGTTCTCATTGTGGCCTACTTGCGGGGCATACGCGCTGATAACATTGAGAACCAAGTCCTCAACTACCAGCTTGACCAAGATAATCCGGTCCCCACGTCTCTTGACGTCTACCACTCCATACTTGAGGCTCTTGTTGATCAAGATGCCTACACCATTTCTGTTTGCAGCCGTCCCCGTGTACCACAGCTTGAAGCCGGTATCCTCCACCTCCTTCGCCTTCTGTGCTTCAGGTTTTGGGCACATCACAGTTCATAGTTAGATTAGATTATTAGATTAAATCGTGATGCAATGTGCCATCGTGGGTATTGCATTTGCGTTCGATGGTATTTGTGTTAAAAATCTTTATGGTTAGTATGGATAATCTCCCTGATTGCACTTGTTTTACTTGTTCTGCTGTTTGGCATCCCTGGTGCTATGTTAATCTTGTCTGGTTGGTCCTGCTATGTATGGTGATTGGTGAATTATAGCAATGACATGATGTCATAGGAGAAGAAATCCGTGAATGCAGACAGCTGCATTTTGATGAATTCTGCAACTGGACTAACTTAAGTGTGTGCACCTTAGGCTGATTGTGTTGTTTCATTTTGAGATTCCTCACCATGCTATGCTATGTTTTAGGTTTCCTTGTGCTTAATTACACGCCGCTACTATTTAAGCTTTTATATACATAGCTAAAATATGTTGACTTCATAGCATAGATCAACACTTGTTGAAGAAACAGCAAACAGTAGGCCTGAAGGAACATACCAGTTTAGAGGATACTTCTTAATACTGAACGCAAATTGGCGTTTGTTTCTTAATCGCCACAAATACTTTATTCCACACACACACA